GCCACCGACAATGATTTATGTCTAATTTCTTGTCACACAAACTTGAAGATGTACAGGCGAAAACTAGCAAGTTGATAGGAGAGATAGGGCAGTGAAGATGACACTTCATTCAGGTGAATGTAGAGAAGACAGAGGTGATGTGATGAAGATACCCAACCAACAACTACAACAACTACAACAACAACAAATTCCAATCACCATCAACGTGAGAAACATAAGGGAAGTAGTCTATTTCACCTACCTAGACTGGGCAGCATCGTTTCAACTACAGGTGATGGCACATACGAGGATGTCAATGCAATCAGGATGAGAAACACAGCAAGACAGACAGGCGTTGATTATCCTGAAACCAGTGTGGAGATCTTCTACACTCAGCATGAGGTGTGAACAACATCTGGATTCTGAACACCAATGCCAGTCGAGTCAGTGCTTGTGTGTGATGTTTCAGAGACTTGGCGTGTTACGGAGGGGATTTGCAACAAACTACAGATATTCATCAACAACTGCTTACGCTCGCTACTCACTCAGATAGTCAAAATGGCAAGGTGAACTGTTAGGCTATATGAACTTTGGTCCAAGAAATGAACACTGTAGACCACGCCATCAAGCTGGCATTCAATGAAGATCTACACTACCAGTCATACAGGAGACAAAATTAGCACACATTTCATTTCAAATACTCAAGAAAGCCGTCCGAGAAAGGCAAAGAATTTCCCTAATATACAGGTACACAGTATCCAGAACAACAGACAGCTCAGTTAATCACTAAAAGACGAATCTCCTGTCATGAAGAAGTCTGTTAAGATAGTGAGGATCATTGTGTGCATTGTAATGAAAATGTTCTTACACAATATTATGTCACTAAATGAAACTTAAATTTCAGTTTTTTAGTGGTGCATAAAGAATCTCAACAACATGACTAAGCTTTAACTCAGGAAGGCGACTTCTTCAAGACTTTAGGTATTGTAACAATATTCGTCACCTAGTTACAACTTGAAGAAGATACACGAATAGTTGGTAGACAATTTACATAACTGTACGAGTTCGTAAACCTTTTTTATTTCAGTCGTTTGAATTACTATGTTCCGATCAAGTCGAGTAAGACACTTATCACACTGTTTGTGATGCTGTTGCTCAGGTAAGCAAAAAGATTATGGCAATATCTAAGGTGTATCAATTAGAATAGCGTAAAGGCTGTAGTTATCAGATTTAGGAGCCAGATTAGAGTAACCCAGCTGTAACAGTCTTAACATGTTCAAAGTTCAATACGAATAATTCCCTTAACATACTAACATTGTAAACTGTCGTTGAATATGCTGATTTTGCTGATTAATTTAAACAAGACAATGACGCTTTCTTTAATCAGTGATAAAAGCGTCCAACCAACAGACATTAAATATCAGTCCATTGGGTGGTTGATTTCTAAGGAATCGGTTAATTTTGGAGTTTGTATTAATCAAAGATTGATGATGTTCAACATCTATCTGTTATGTCTTGATATAAGGTTTCGTTGTAGTGCACACTTGAGATACACCAGCCGATCTTTCAGTGACCACTTTACTATCCAGCGGAATATAGTTTATAGCATCACTGAGTTTACTCAATAGTATAAACACTAGGTAATGTCAACTATTCACTTCCATTCACTCTGAGAATTAGGCTGATACTACATGGTAAATGTCGACTGATAACAGTGGATGATAGTTGCACTATGATGTAAATTAATAAACTTCGTAGTAGGTTAAGCACTGAAAAAGATAGCAAAGTTTGTATTCCAGTAAATAAATATACGCCCATATGCATTGTTGGAGATGATGTAGTTACTTTTTAAGACCTGCTGTTGACCAAATACATTAGTGGTCTGCATTTATTCTATCTTTTTACAACAGTTCTGACTCTATGAGACAATTTTTTTTTCATAGACTTGTACTATTGATACACAGTGATAATTGAAGGTAAAATAGAAATTTGAGCTGTAACAGGATTCCAGCCAATAGTGACCTTCCGTTTTCTGGCTTAGTGTTCTGTCAACTACACCACAAGACTCAGCTTGTGGTCATATCTTACTTTCACTTCAAGAATAAAAGTCTACCAAACCATAACTACCTTAGATAGTCAAAATGAATATCATACTCTCCCTGTTTAATTCAACTAGGATAAGTAGTCCTGGCTAGGAAGCCAGTGTTAATACGATGAGTCAACAGTGATCCATCATCAATTCACATGTAATTCCACATTAGATTGGTTTATTTCATCTACAAAACACAGTGGTACAGTATTATTTACTTGATTATTACAACAAAATCGATGAACCTATTCAAATAGAACCATATGAAGAAATCAAGAAACCTGTAGACACTGGTATGAACAAAATTAACAAATCTACAGTCGATCTGATACATTGACTAAAACCATCTCCAAGTGAATCTGACTGGTTTCATTTAATGCTAAAAGCCAAAAATCATAACAGAATTTACAGTATTATCAAAGTTCATTGATTAGGTTATCCTATAAATCAGAAGTCAATTAAATATTGACTCAGAACTTACTCACAGAACTAAAATATCGGTTAATGAGAGAGATTATATTAGGCAAGCAGTTATACCTGACTTCCACAGTCTTCAAATTTCAGGATAAAATATACAGAAAAATAGAAGGAGTTGCAATGGGATTGCCAATATCCCCAATCATAGTAGATATATTTATGGTAGTTGGGAAAATATAGCATTCACAAACGTTTAATCCTACACGTAAGATATGGTGGCGATATGTGGATGACACATTCACTACCGTCTTCAAATTGGAACATATTAACAATTTCCTCACAAATATAAACTCAGTAGTAGGCACCATTCAATTTACTTGCGAAAAGGTAGAAAATGAACAAGTAGAATTACTTATGTTGAACTGTAGGATGAAACGAAGAACAGACGGTAGTTTAGATACTTCTATCTACAGGAAACCAGCACATTCCAAAAGGTATCTAGACTTCAAATCATCCCATCCAATGTCAGTCAGTTAATGCAAGTCTAGTCATATGCCTAAATGATAGAGCTAGAAAACTGACTAGTTAGTGCGAGGATCTAAAAAAGGAATCAAAGGGCATAAAAGAAGCTCTAATAGTTAATAATTATCGTCCGCAGATCATCCGGAGATCAACTTTGTCAGCTTAAAGATCTGATACATTCAATTAAGCTAAATAATCTAATCTATGGAATTCTTGGTTGTATTGTGTTCTCTGAGCTGGGTTGCTTAGTTGTGGAGAAGCTTTCATCGTCTTTCTAGACAGCAATATCATCAGCACTAACTTCAATATGAAGTGAGCTGTCAAATCTCTCCGCGAGTAATTTAGTAGCTTGCCTTGACGAAGTGGTCTGTGATTGGTTGTTTCCTTTGATTGTTGTATCATTGGCTGTCCCTCTGCGCGACCTCTCACCTTTCTGTCCTTTATCATCTTTCTTATTGGTTGATAGATTCGGTTTATGTCTATATATATATATATTGATTTCTGGCTAGCTGATCTGAATGCCAAGCTTCTAGGAATTCTCTGATATTCTATGTGTTTCCTCTCTCCGTCTAAAATTTCTGTATAGTCAAAATTCAATTCATGTACATAGTTGTCATCTACATGCATTGAAATGAGTGATGAAATGTCGTGTTTGACATTTAATAGCCAATTGGTGTTCATGTAGACGAAGATGAAGAGAGTGACCACACTGTCCAGAGTAGTGTTGACTACAGTTATTGCAGTTGATTTTGTAAATGATATTCGGTTTGTCTTCTTTAATTGTTCCATCCACTGGTCTGCATAACAGGGATTGTAGGGAATTTGTTGGTTTATGTGCCACACCAATTCCAAATGGTTTCAGTAATCTTCTCGACAAGATTACTAAAACCATTTGGAATTGGTGTGAGTGTAAGGACTGTGAAAGAGGTCAAGGTCAAACTAGCCGGTTGGTATCAGTTAAACTACCGTAACATATAGGACTATAAAATTCAGATGTTGAAGGTGGAATGAGATTACACATTAATGATATGAATATAATCAATTAATAATTGATACTCGAAAAGCCATCATTCAGTAAATACTACTGTATCACTGTATGTGTTGTGTATCAATGCGCAACAAATCTAATATGGAATTACATTCTACCGCAAACCCCAAGTTTTTTTCACACTTATATTAAGGAATTCACACGCCAGTCTGGCAAGAAATGTGATACACAATTGATTCTTGTAGTGGAGTTGATAGAACACCCAACCGGTAAACCAGATGTCGGTGGTTCTGTTCAATCATCACCTACGCATCAATATTCAATTTGTTTTCCTATACAAATAAACAGTTTACATTGAATCAAATAATCAATAGACACATTTTACACCCTACGGTTTATCTCATTGTAAGAAAAGATCACGTAGACAAATACTCCAGTAAGTGATAGTCATGTGTATTCTAGTAAGTACTGTTAGTGCAAGTCTACAGAAGATAAGATTATTTCGTAACATCTGACTTCAAGGAGGTCTACTCTTTTATCAAAGATAGAACCGAAATTTCTGGTTCAAACGTATACTACACAATCACACAGATATATATATATATATATATATATATATATATATATATAAACTCAGAAACTAGTGTTATCCCTCGAACATAAGTACCAAAAGACAAACCCGATGAATCAGTTACTTTCGATTGCTTAGGGTAAAAAGAAGAAAATGTGATTACTTTGACTCCATTGTCTACGAAATCGAAATGAAATGGATTCAGCAACGTTGTGCACATCTATGCACTAGGCAATGAGTCATACCTATTATGTGATGCCTAATAATGCCACCTAACTGCCTAAACTTCAGTATCTGGAGCCATGCTTCACTACAGGAGTTAAAAAAAGTATTTTAAGTGTTACATAGGACTAAAATTTAAGGCCTCTATTGAGGTGGTTACGCATCATCATAGGACGGAGCATAGAATGGTAGTCATCTCAACTAAATCCCAACTTCATCGACTGATTGCGGTGGACTGGATCATGCGACAAACAGTAACGAGTGAGAAGAAGGGGACACGCTGGCTGGACAGGGGAAAGGAGCCTAGGAGATTTCGATTTCGCCACCGACAATGATTTATGTCCAACGTCTTGTCACACAAACTTGAAGATGTACAGGAGAAAACTAGCAGGTTGACAGAAGAGGTAGGGTAGCGAAGATGACACTTCATTCAGGTGAATGTAGAGAAGACAGAGGTGATGTGATGAAGATATCCAACCGACAACCACAACAACAACAACAACAAGAAGCTCCAATCACCATCAACGTGAGAAACATAAGGGAAGTAGTCTATTTCACCTACCTAGACTGGGCAGCATCGTTTCAACTACAGGTGATGGCACATACGAGGATGTCAATGCAATCAGGATGGGAAACACAGCAATACAGACAGGCGTTGATTATCCTGAAACCAGTGTGGAGATCTTCTACACTCAGCATGAGGTGTGAACAACATCCAGATCCTGAACACTAATGCCAGTCGAGTCAGTGCTTGTGTGTGATGTTTCAGATACTTGGCGTGTTACGGAGGGGATATGCAACAAACTACAGATATTCATCAACAACTGCTGTCTACGCTGGCTCGATACTGACACTGAAGCTCAGATGTGCAGAATGATAAGAATAAGCAAGAAGGAACTCTTTTCAGACAACCAACCAACTGAGAACGTATTGCTCAACAATTATGCAGTGGAAGGAAGTGGAGAAGGATTTGGCATATACTGAGAACACCATTCAGGGACATCACGCACCAGTCCAGTTCCTAGAGTGGAATCTATATGAGAAACGGCGATTTGGGCATCTGAGTTGAGGGTAACATGGAGGAGATGGTGTGAGGAAGAAATGAGAGGTTGTGGGCAGTCATGGCATCAGGTTGAAAAGATTGCAGAGAAGAGAGTGCACTGGAGATGTGTTACTGAAGCCCTATGCTCCACTAGGAACTCATGGGACAAATAATAATAATAATTGACGTGACATGTAAAGAATAAATATGGAAAACTCGATACAGTAGGGTAATAAGGTTGGGATGGAGATAGAAATCAGACAGGATAAACTTAATGTTATCTACTGATTGAATTCGACGAATTAGTTTCATTGACTAAATATTATATAATGACGATGACGTTCAGAACATCATCCAAGAAAGCAAAGTAAAGCCAATCAGATTATCAAAATACAGCAACCTAGCTATATGTAGAATTTTGATACACTACAGGTTTCTCTTGGAAAATGTTAGCAAAGTAAGAACAATAAATTGGGTAGAATATGATGAATTCTTTATATTTCGGTGACTTCTTTTCAATTGAGTATTAGGTATAAAAATCGTAAGGGGCATACAGATAACTTCAGTTTAAATACCTAAGTGGTTGACAAGAAGACAGTGAATGGATGAAAGATAGTTGAAAAGTTAATACAGGCTAATTTTTAAACATTTACTAGACCTCGCGTAAGTAGCTGCGTATCCAACAGGAAGCAGTTGTTCATCAGCCACCGCCCCCACCAACTTTCATGACGTACATTGATTTAACTCACTGTTTAATATAAATCCTTTCGAAATTCTTATCGATATATACTTTTGGTATTATCATCCCCTATTTAAACCGATTTCACTACCTTAATATATAAAAGAGTAACTTGAGCATTATGGTAGATTTTAATTCCATCCCAGTCTGTTTATTAGAAGTCACATACTGACGGAATAGTATCATTTACTGCATAACGTTTTGGATACAATTTACTGTTCATAGTCATATCAGCAGGTAACTCCACAACTTTGAGACAGACTTTATATAGTCCTAATCTTATCTCCTTCTTTGTGATGGCAAGAGTAGTAGAATTCTCTATATATCTGTAACAGGTGCAGAATCACTCCTGTGTTGATTTGAGGAATTAAGGTTCGGTTATCAATCTCTCTCCTCATCCAACTACGTTACTCTTCAACACTGTCGCTTTATCCCACCCTATTGTGTAATTGCATGCAAAGCTATACTCGAGCATTTTGCTAAATTCCTCATCTTATCAGGATCTACTAATCTTGATTCAACTGAGTTTTTGTGCTCTGTTATTCTAATCAACCCTGGTCGACTACTGTGAACCGTGTACTTGGAAGGGATCTCGTAAACAAAACTGGAAGGTACATTACAAGCGTCATGGAAATTTCAGTATAACACTGGGGTTACAGTGGTAGTTAGACCAGTAAACTAGCTGAGAAACAAACTTTGTAGGGTCAAAGATCCCATTGATTGAATTGGGAAAAATAATCTGCTTTGTTATTATTTGTCCCCTGGGTTCCTAGTGGAATATGCGGCTTCAGTAGCACGCCACCACTTCACTCTCTTCTCTGCAGTCTTTTCAACCTGCCTCAACCACTGTCCATAAGATTCATTTCTTCCTCACATCATCTCCTCCATGTCAACCTTACACACCAACTGGTCGTTTCCCGTTTGGGTTCCATTCGACGGCCTGGCCCGGCGCTTGATGTCCCTAAACTGTCTTCTCAGTATATGTCCAATCTAACCAATCTCCACTTTCTTTCACTGTATATCTGTTTGGTTGATGGGTTCTTGGTTGATTTGTTGCCAGGACAGAGTTTCATCGTTGCTTATTCTTATTATTCTGACCGACTGATTCTGATCGATCTTAAGTGTCAGTATCGAGTGAGCGGGAGCTGTTGATGACGTATGTCTGCAGTTTGTGGGAAATGCTTTTCGCAGCGCGATAAGTCTCTCTATCGTCACATAGAAGCACTGATTTGACTGACATTCGTGTTGAAATTCTGGATGTTGTTCGCGCTTTATGCTGAGTCCACTATAGTGCAGTCGATCTCTACACTGATTATTTCAGATAAATGAAGGCCTGTCTCGCTTTTCCCCATCGTGGGTTGGACATCCTCATCTGTGCCGCCGTCGCAGTCGCCGCCGCCTGAAGTTGAAACGATGCAGCCTACCTAGGTGGGTAAAAGAGACTACTTCCTCCATTCAAATTTCTCCCGTTCATGGTGATTGGTGCTTATTTTTTCTGTTCGTTGGGTATCTTCATCTCCTCTATCTTCGCTACGTTCACCTGAAGTCCCATCTTTCTTTGTTGCCTTCCCTCTCCTGCCAACTTGTTAGTTTTCGCCTGTAGATCTTCAAGTTTGTGCGATATTTGATATAAATCATCATCGGCGAGATGCAAATCTTCTTGTGAGGTCCTTTCATCTATCCAGCTAGCGTATGTCCATCTTCTCGCTTCTCATGGTTTCTTGCATGATCCAGTCCAGTTCAGTCGAGTCGACCACGATCAGGAAGATGATCGGTGATAGTAGGCGGTAACCTTGTCTTACTCCTGTATTCACTTTAAATGCGTCACTGAGCTTTCCAGGACAAATAATATGGTTTAGCGAATCCCTTGCAATGATTATGAGGTCAAATACATCAGTAAAAGTAGTCGGTAAGGATCAATTGGAATAACAAAGCATAAAATCTTAGCTAAATCAAGATTAGTTGATCGCAATAGGATGAGGAATTTAGAGGAAACATAGTTTTAACCTTGTCATCTTCCCATCAACTAATTATAATGAAAACTAACTGAATACTTAACTACTCAAATATTTCAGGATACACTCTATTGAAGACTACACTGAAACATGAAATCCCTATCGAGTAGAGTATCTTATCAACTGTTATCCAGTACACAACACATTGAATAATATACACCTTTGTGTACCTCATCTACAATTAACTGCCTACAATGAATAGATATTTTTGTAGATCACAATGATAAACGATTCCATGAGTTGTAAGTTGATTTCACAAGGTACACTCAGCTGAAATAAAATGATATTTTGTTAGGAGTATACTGACAAAATGTTTATTGAATACCTTACTAATGCAACCATTCACCTTTTTCATTTTTATTGATTAATTAATTGGATATATCACACTGTGAAAGAACAATATTGTTTACTGGATTATGTTTCGGACATAATTTATTGTCGACAGCCACATATCAAGATAACTATACAACTTTCAGATATCTTTTATATAGTCCTATAGTAGACTATAGAAATACTCCTACATATGACTTATCTAAAATTTGCCATTGGTACTAAACCCAATTAAGAACCGTTCTAAATCAAGACTTACTAACTCTTATGAATTGGAGCACAGATTAGATGACATACATTTAGATTATGATGAAAAAATGGTTAGTTTTGATTAAGTCGGTCAGTATACCAATATACCTATTGAAATGACCCTGGAAGCAGTACGAAACGATGTCAATAATGACCACGAGCTTATACTACGAACTAAGGTACCAATAAATGATATCATACTAGGAGTACAGCTATGCCTAACTTCCACAATATTAAGGTTTCAGAATAAAATATACAAACAAACAGAAGGAGTTGCCATAGGATCACCAATATCCCCTATTGTGGCTGACATATTTATGGAGAGTTGGGAAAGGATGGCTGTAGAAAAATTTAGTACAGCTCCAAAAATATGGTTTCACTATGTAGATGACACGATTACATTGGTGAAATCGGAAGACAAACATAATTTCTTTACACACATAAATTCAGTAATCAAAGCAATCGAATTCACCTAGGAATTAAAAAATAGTGAAGGGGAGTTAGCAATGTTGGATGACAGAATAAAACGGAAACAAGATGACAGTTTAGACATTAGTATCTACAGAAAACCTTCACATTCATACCGTTGATTAGACTTCAAATCATCGTCTCACCCTATGTCAGTCAGTTAAAGTTGGCTTACTAAAGTGTCTAACTAACACGGCCAAAACACTTACTACTGAAACAGAAGATCTAAAACAAGAAACCAGATACATTAAACACGCCTCAATCATCAACAATTACCCTCCTACATTAATTGATAACCTCCTCAGGAATTGTAAGATAAATATCAGTAACACAGTTAGTAATAGTAGTAATAATAGTGGTGATAACAGCAACAATAATAGTAATAGTAGTGTTGATAATGATGTTAATAATAGTAGCGGCAATACTGTGAGTGGAGAATTCAAAACCTCCACAGTATCACCATACAAAGAAGGCGCCTCAGGAACACTACGTAGAATTCTCGATAAGCCCGGCTGTCATTAGAATGGCCATGAAACCTACAAACTCACTTCGAAATAAGCTTTGTAGTTTAAAAAATCCTATTGACCCAATTAAGCAGAATAACTCCGTTTATCAAATCCCCTTGGAGGATTGCGAGGTCAACTACATAGGTCAGTCAAAGTAGTTGATTATGTTCCATTAGGATATCCGAGCATAAAAATCAAACCAGGTCAAAACTGGCAGATCCCAGTAGAGGTAAGGAATTTAGAAAGAAGCTCAGTCATAGCTATTCATGCGATTACACACAACCACAGAATAGAATGGGACAGGGTGAAAATACTTAGAACTAACTTGGTGAGGTTTAGCAAGAGATTGATCACTGAATATTTGTTTATTGAATCATTACTGAATGCGTGTAGCAGCTACAGGAATCACTCTGCACCAATTCCCAATTTATGAGAAATCCTACTACCCACATCATGAAG